ATGTGTTCCACTTCTATCCAGGTTAATATAAAGGATGTAAAGTCTCCATCTTTTTTAATAGCTAAATAGTATTCCATAACAAAGATATACCACAGCTTGTTAATCCATTCCTGGGTTGGTGGGCATTTAGCCTGTTTCCACATTTTGGCGATTATAAACTGAGCTGCAATAAACAGTCTAGTGCAAGTGTCCTTATGACAAAAGGATTTTTTTCCTTGTGGGTAGATCACCAGTAATGGGATTGCAGGACCAAATGGGAGGTCTAGCCTGAGTTCTTTGAGGATTCTCCATACTTCCTTCCAAAAAGGCTGGTTAGTTTGCAGTCCCACCAGCAGTGTAAAAGTATTCCCTTCTCTCCACATCCACGCCAGCATCTGCAGCTTTGAGATTTTGTGGTCCACCATCCAATTTTAATGGTAAACAGACAAGTGCAGCAGCCTCAGCCTGAAACTGCCAAGCTGACCAGGGGCTCAGATTCCTCAAGCTATCTCCCCTTTGGTCAGAAGAGATGCCAGCTGGCCCTGGGAGCAATCCAGAATGGGTAACAAAGAGGCAGATTGGACGCCCAGATGGACCCCCAGAACAGCAGTGGCAGTGGGCCTGTAATTTGTCCCTCTAACTTTCCTCTTATAAGCTCCTGTGGGAAAAGAGAGCCATGACAGTGCTGAAAAGGCTACTCAAGGATGTGGTGAAATTATTCATTATTTATTTTCTTTTTTTTGAAAGAAAAAGAAAGAAACCAAGGCAGGGCTCAGTGGCTCACGCCTGGGTTGCCCTGGGTAGAGTGCCGGGGCCTCATCATAGCTCCCAGTGACCTCAGACTCTTGGTCTTAAGTGATCCTCTTGCCTCAGCCTCCCCAAGTAGCTGGGACTACAGGGACCTGCCACAACACCTAGGTTTTTCTATTTTTAGTAGAGATGGGGTCTCACTCTTGCTCAGGGTGGTCTCCAATGATGAAGACCTGATGACCATTTGATTAATGCTTCCTTAAAAATCAAGGCTCTGTCAATTTGCACTGACACCAGCCAACTTTGATTCTACCACTCGTTCACTTCTCCAATATGAGTCCCGTGTTCTTAAGTATTTTTGTAAAGTTGATAAGCCAAAACAATGGCGGCTTCTCATCTCAAGCCAATGTGTATTTTCAAGCTCATAGCTTTTATTTCCAAGGTGATCGTATCCTGCTCCTCCACGCCAGCCACGCCATAAAGAAAACAAGTATTTCGGTGCTCCTCTCTCTTCCTGTCATAGCGGGCGAGGGGGCAGTCGGGGGAGGGGTAGCTGAGAAAATTTTCAGCCAAGATGGAGGTCCGTTCTCATGGCCTGGGCTCTTAATAGGCAGGTATTTTGGCCCCTTCAGTTTTCATGAGAATCCTCTTGCTTGTCCTTATAGGAAGGCTGTGGGGCCCAGCTCTCCCCAGCCAGGTGGAGGCCTGTGCCTTGAACGTTTCCAAGAGAGGTAGAACCCACAGGCCCAGAGGCCCCCCGACACTTCCTGTGTGGGGTTCAGAAACCCGCCTCCCCTCCCAGCCTCGGGTGCCTGCTTCAGAAAATGGTGAGTCTCCCTCTCATGAAGACCCCTTTTTTCCTCCTAACATTGCGAGCAATGGCCCCAGGGTGCTTATCTCCGGCAGATGTTTTGAAAAAGTCCTTTGATTTCTTTTTTCAGAAGTCATAAACTGACTTGTCTCCGCCATCTTAGTAGAGAAGCATCGGTGAGAGGAAGATGCAGTGGGGCACTCTCTGGAAAGTTCTGGGACTCTGCCTCCTATCAGGTGAGTGAACACAGTCTGTGTTTCCAGACCACTGGAAAGCTCATAGTCTTACCCGGCACTGCCCAGTGACCCCAGGAAGCCTCAATTTAATAGATCTAAGGCACTGTTTGTACTACATTAGCTTGGGAAATTAGAGCCAGAGGCTAACAAAAAAGATTGGTCACAGGTGCCTGGGAACAGTGTTTCAGGAGCAGAGAAAAGCATTTGGGATGATCCTGTCTACTGACCAAATTCTGCTGGTGCATTTACCCAGCCCTTAAGAACTAGCAGAAAAGAGGTTGGAAGAGGACAATTCCACTCCTTGTTTTGGAGAGACCAGATAGGTGAACCTAAACACTGCCCAGGGTACATATAGCAAGTTTGTATGTGTTAAGGGATTGAATTCTTACTTCCACCTTGGCAAGAAGGTGTTATATCTCCTACTGTACAAGTGAAGAAATCGATACTCAAAAGAGTTACACTGGAACTGTCAACAAGGCCTGTGCTCTTCTAATGGCTGCATCCCATAAGCCAAAATGGCTTATGAAGGTTTGATTTCAAAAACCTAGCAAATGGTGGCCAGGCCCAGCAGCTCACACCTGTAATCCTAGCACTCTAGGAGGCCAAGGCAGGTGGATTGCTTGAGCTCAGGAGTTCGGGACCAGCCTAAGCAAGAGCAAAATCCCATCTCTAAAAATAGCCGGGCATTGTGGCAGGCGCCTGTGGTCCCAGTTACTTGAGAAGCTGAGGCAAGAAAATCCCTTGAGCCCAAGAGTTTGAGGTTCCTGTGAGCTATGCTGCCATGGCACACTACCGAGGGCAACAAAGTAAGACCCCGTCTCGGAAAAAAAAAAAAAAACAGCAAATGCTGTCACAGCTGGGGCCTGTATCTCAGAGCCACGGCTCTGATGCCTCCGCTTCCTGCTTCATCTTGGATTTCTCAACTTGAATGTGCACTTGGGGTTCTTGTTAAAATGCAGCTTCTGTTTCAGGAGGCCTGGATTGGGGACTGAGATTCCAGGTGTCTAATGAGTTCTCAAGGTTATTAATTTTCTACTGGTCCGAGGAACACACTGAGTAGCAGGGGCAGGCTGTGACCCCTACAAGGAGTGGTCAGGCATTTTCTTAGAGGCCTATGGTCTAAAATATGCTTTTTTTTTTTTTAAAGTAGAGAAAGAGAGACAGAGAGTTAGACCAAAGTTCTAAGCACCCTGAGAAATTTGGCACCCTAAGAATATAGCCCGTCTACTCTGGGGATAGGATGATAGGAAGTGTGTCTCAGGCAATATAGAGATAGAAAATTTTCAGGCAATGTCGGAGAACCTGGTCATTATAATGAATCCAAGTTATTGCTGGGTGAGGGGGTTCTGGAGGGCCCCAAGGAGATGTGATCAAGCTCTTCAATGCACAGGCTCTCGCTGATGAATAATCAGCATTTCAAATTATTTCCACCTCAGATATTTCTGCTTGTATCAAGCAGAAAGCAAATGGAAAAATTGAGCCATCAGACAAGCAAGAGCTAGAGATGGAACAAGAACCCCGTTGTTGGTACCCAGCCAAGAGGCTTGTTTTTCTTCCACAAAGACCAACTTTCAAAATGGAGGCTTAGGGGCAAAATTCTCTAGTTATCCAAAAAAGAAGTCCTAATGTTTTCTGACTGCTCCTTCTGACTTTTGAGTCCATATTCATATTTAATGCTAGATGCTTTCTTGCTCTATTTCCTCCCCAAATGCTCAGGCAATACCCAGCAGTTAAGTGTCACTTTTCTGGGGTAGACTTTATTATAGAAATTATAGAAATGTCTATAATTGGCTTGGCGCCTGTGGCTCAAGCAGCTAAGGCACCAGCCACATACACCTAAGGTGGCGGGTTCAAATCTCCAGCCCGGGCCCGCCAAACAACAATGATGGCTGCAACCAAAAAATGGCCAGGCGTTGTGGCGGGCGCCTGTGGTCCCAGCTACTTGGGAGGCTGAGGCAGGAGACTCGCTTGAGCCCAGAAGTTGGAGGTTGCTGTGAGCGTGATGCCATGGCACTCTACCCAGGGGGATAGCTTGAGGCTCCGTCAAAAAAAAAAAAAAAAAAGAAATGTCTATAATTAACCATAGTTGACAAGAACTTTAGATGGCATGTCCTCAGACTGGAACACAGCCGTTTTTCTCTTTGGAATTGAAGGAACCCACGATATTTGCTAACTTTTTAAAATTATTCTTCTTTATTTTCTAGTTGGCGCATGGGGGCAGGAAGGTAAGATCTGTTTTCTTTCTTTCTTATAAAATCAGTCCAGCATTCTTGGGATTTATAAGTGGCACTTCCTCTAGGCCTCTCCTAGAACTTCCACAGAGACCAGGAAAAGGGATTCCTACCATCTCTTCCTTTGCCTCTTCCTCTTAAGTTTAGAGATATTTCTGGACTGAAACAGAGATCGTACGATAACAAGTCTTAATTCTTCAAAAGAAAAATCGAGACTGTTAAATTAAGTTGAACAGGCCAACCATTCTCATTTGTTTTCATTTCATATTTGATATGAGATTTTGTAAAGGCAAAAATGCATGCACAGGGTTGCTCTGAACAAGCCTCTGGGGAAATATTTGGGTACATATTCAGAATTATACTTGTGTTCATGTGTGCACATGCATGCATGTGCCTGGTCTGGACTTATTTCGTCAACCATAGCAGTAAAGTCAGGAGTGTAGAACACTGGCAGCCTCTCTACTCAACCAGCTCTTCCAAACTGAGTAAGCTGATGTTGGATTTAAATTAAGGTGACCAGATTTTAACATTGGTAAAGTGGGACACCATTGACGTGCGGGGTGGGGGTGGGGGGCTGACAACAATGCAAACTTTGATAAGCAGTTCTCGATAAGCAGTTCTCAACAATTATTTGTTATTATTAAAGTTTAACATTATAAAATTAACAAAAATAATATAAAACTCATATCCTGGTAAAATAGCCACATGGCAGCCAAAAACTATATATTCCCTTCCTGTTCTCCTGCATTCCCTAGCTTGTCATGCATTCTTTCCAAAAGTCAAGACTTTTTTAAAACGCTGCAGGACACGGAACAAATTGTTAAAAATCAGGACTGTCCCACCAAAAGCGGGATGTCTGGTCACCTTACTCTAGAGAGGGGGGAGCTACTTGTTTGTTCCAGACAGTTTGGCTCCTTCTGAGCTAATTGTCCTTGCCTAGAAGGGAGGGAGGGAGCCATTCTCCTTCTGATACCGATTCCACCTGGGGACCTTGCCCAGGAGGGGAGTAGGAAGTTTACATTAGCCTTTTCATTTCCAAATGGAGTTACATTAACCTTTTCATTCCCAAATGGAGTTACATTAACCTTTTCAGCAGCCAAAAACCATATATTCCCTTCCCATTCTCCCGCTGTTCCCTAGCTTGTTGCGCATTCTTTCCAAAAATTGGGACTTTTTTAAAACACCGCAGGATGCGGGACAAATTGTTAAAAATCAGGACTGTCCCACCAAAAGCGGGACGTCTGGTCACCTTAATTTAAATGCAACCACTGTTCTATTCTGCATTCCACTGCATGGCCTCATTTGTAGTGTCTTTAGAAGCCATGTTTATAAATAGCTATCGGATATTTAACATAGGAGATAAGGCCCCAGACAGCTTTTCATATCTAGCCAAGAAAATGTGAGGATCCATCATTTCCAAAAGGTTGAGGGAAGAGAGTTCCCTAACCCACGGGAGGAGGGTCTGGTCTTAGTTTGCTGATGGAAACATTATTAATGGCTTCTTATCATTTCCTTTTCAGAAAATGAAGAAACTGGTAAGAGGATTTTCACTGTATGCGACCTCTTTTCAAATGTAGAACAATGAATCTCAAATTCAGTTGATTTTTTTTAAATGTGGAACAAAATGATTGTAGAGGACAACCACAATAATAAGCCCTGAGAATGAGAACTATTAAAGGGAAAATAAAGCTGTCTTTCAAGGGGATCTGTATGACATGTGCCTACATTTGTTGCTAATGTCATGTCTGGTTATAGCTGTGCCTGTCCCTGGGCACCCAGCGGAGAAGAGTCACGTGCTCAGGGATGTAGGCATGGGTTGGAGCTACCAGGCACTGTGGTATAAACTATGAGATCCTCGAAGGCAGAGACAGTGTCTCCTTGACCTATCCCAGGGTCTGGCATCTATGAGGTGTTCCATGAGCATGTTTTGAATGAACCAATGAATGAAGCATATGAATATATTGCTAATTCCTCCCCTCAAGAAGCCGATGGTCTTGCATGAAGGACAGTTGATAATACACGTACAGTCATTTTAAAAGAAAATGTTGCCTACTACGATACACGTAGATACAGAGCAAAATGAAATATAGAGGAGAGTAGGTGAAAAAGGACTCCTGAGAGAGATGAGTCTTGAGCTGAGTCTTTTTTTTTTTTTTTGCAGTTTTCATCCAGGGCCAGGTTTGAACCTACCATCTCCAGTATATGGGGCCGGCGCCCTACACCTTTGAGGCACAGGCACCGCCCTGAGTCTTTTTTTTTTTTTTAATTGCTGTTTGGCCGGGGTCGGGTTCGAACCCGCCACCCTCAGTATATGGGGCTAGTACCCTACTCCCTGAGGCACAGCTACCACCCTTGAGCTGAGTCTTAAAGGATGAGCTTATACTTTAGGGAAGAAGAATATTTTAGGCAGAGGAAATAAAGCTTTCTAGAGTAAGGTTAAGAGTCTAACCCTGAAGCCAGACTTCAGAATCCTGGCTCAACTTTCTGCTTACTGGGTGCCCTTGAATAATTTATTTCTCTATGCCATAGCATCACAAAATAACAAAGTTTCCTAGACTGTAAGGTTGTTATGAGGATTGAATGAATAATTTATTTAAGATGCTTAGAACATTATCTGATGTAGAAGGCAGTAGGTAAATTTTAGCTATTACATGGAAAGGATGCTCACTACAGATAATAAATGCTAAAGTTTATTTTTATTTTTACTATTGTTTTTTGAGATAGAGTCTCACTTTGTCCCTCTCAATAGAGTGCTGTGGCATCACAGCTCACAGCAACCTCAAACTTTTGGGCTTAAGCAATTCTCTTGCCTCAGTCTCCCAAGTAGCTGGGACTACAGGCACCCACCACAACACTCAGCTAGTTTTAGAGACGAGGTCTCGTTCTGGCTCAGACTGGTCTCAAACCTGCGAGCTCAGGCGATCCACCTGCCTCAGCCTCCAGAGTGCTAGGATTACAGGCATGAGCTACCACACCCCAGCCCCACTAAAATTTATTGAATGTGTATATTTTAAATATTGCTGTAAATATTTTACCTGAATTTCTTCATTTAATTCTTCCAACATCCCTATTCTATAGATAAGGAAGGAAGTGTTGAACAGTCCCATCACAGAGACACAAATGTAGATTTATATGATACTGAAGCTCCTTTTCCTAAACATTATGAAATACCATCTCTGGACGTGTATAAAATCTTTGTGGGCACACTTATTTCTAAGCATAGACATCTAGGCCCCGTGTGAGCGTAAGTCTAAGCTCTCCTACTGAACTTATGCCAGTTAAAGTTGTTGAGCAATTTTCATTACATTCCTTTTCTCAAACAAGCCTACCAAACAGAGCATAATGTCTATTTATTTTTAAATTATTTGGTCTATGCTCTCTAGTATATTTAACATATCTAAGAAACATCAGTGGTGAAAAATGATTTGTGAGTCAAAATAATTATCAACTGTCAATTATTATCAAGTGGAAAAGCTGGACTATAATTTGTTTGCATTCTGATCGGCCGTGGTCAGGAGGCGACTGCCTGAGCAAATGGGTCAGAGCTCAGTTCTGATCTCCATGGTAGCAGGACCCCAAGAAAGAAAAGAGAAAAGGAAGCAACAACTTTCTTGAGCACGTGCTGGGTGCCATCCACTTTCACCCTCATAATCCATTTAATTCTCACAAAAACCCTGGGAGGTGGGTGTTTTATCTCCGCTTCCTTGATAAAGGAATTGAGGCTTAGAGAAGTTAAATGCCTTGCCCTTGGTCACACAGACTTCAAACACAGGGCTTCTGACTCTGAGTTCCATGCTCTGTCCCCAGTAGCATGGTGTCTCTGAGCCACCCTCTCCTCCCTTCCAGCAAACATGGAAGCCAGGGAACAAAGATAGACCCCCAGCCTTACCTCCCAAGGCAAAACTAACTACTGTGGGGCATTTGGCTAGATCCTCAGATGACATTGATGAATTAGGAGTAGATTTCATTTGTCCATACCAATGGCCCCTTCCCCTCCTCCCTCTAACAACAATAACTGAAAGGTGATTATGTTCAAAGATAATATAAAGCCACTCTTATTGGAAGAACCGTTTTCTCAAAATCTGTAAGGTGCTTCACATCATTTAAAGGCAGTAACAGAGCAAATTATGTGGAATAAGGAGAAAGATGTTTGTTCTCTATCATGAGGGACTCTGTTAGGTATAGACAGAATTTCTGAACTATGAGAAATAGGTAAGGCCAAGAATAAGAGATTCAGTGGTGTAGAGAGGTCTTTACCTCTGAAAAGACCCTTTCACATCTATCTGGAATAATGTTCTGGCTAATGCCAGAGGCTGAGCCTGAAGACTTTTAGACATTTTCAGCTTTAGAGTTTTAAGACTTTCTGAGCTTCAGAAGGTGTGGGTCTAGGAGTATATGCTGGTGTGGTCTCAATTTAATGTATCTGAGTTACATTAAATTTGAGCTAAGTTATATCTACGAGCTGAATCTCATGAATACATAATCGTTAAATATGATACATACTTTGCTTGCAAGACTTGGGGGGTCCTAAATGATGAGATCCTCATTGGGAATCCTTGGGGGCAAGGTCTAATCCCCCTTGAAAAATTGTACCTCCAATTGAAACTGACACCAAGATATTTTCTTACATCTCTTTCCTTTTTTCATTTTTAGGTTCTTCCGCGCTCAGACGTGAGTTGATCAGTCTTTTGTTTATGCCCTGTCTGAGGATGCGATGGGTGGGTGGAGGAGAAGGAGCTGATGGAGAGAGATTAACCCCAAGAACTGAGAACCTCCCAACTTTACACTCTCATCCCCCGGTTCAGAAAGTTTCCGCATAGGGACTGTTATGGGTACTAACATTCATCCTCCCCTTTCCAAGTCCCCACGTCCTTGCCCAAACTCTGAAGCCACCTTTCAGAACATAATCTAGTTTCCCTTCCGCCGCATGTCCCCTTTCCACACCCGCCAGCCGGTAGAACTCCCTTCTGACAAGCAAATCTAAGACCTGCATGACAGATGGTTTCCTGCATTTGGTTGGCTCTTTTGTCCCCAGTTTGCCTTTTCTGAAAATGTCCTGGTTTCTCCCTTCAATCTCCCTTCTTTCTCTCCCATTCCCCAGCATATAAAGTCTCCATCTCAGGAACCACGGTAACAGTGAAGTGCCCTCTGGACACTGAACATGACATAAATTGGGCAAAAAAGGACCAAGAATTAAAGGATTATAAAAACCAGGAAGACCTAATACTGGATAATTTTTCAGAAATGGAAAACAGCGGTTATTATGCTTGCTATACAGGCAATAAGGACGATATAAGCCACTATCTCTACCTGAGAGCAAGAGGTAATACTGTGTCGGGGAAAGGCACCAGTAGCCCTTTAGGGAGGATCATTCTGAAACAGCATTCTCTGTGACTTCCCCTACCCCAACTCATAGTCCCCTGGCATCTCTGTGCTTCCTCCTCCACTCAATCCCAGGACTCCCTGATGCCACAGAGCATCAGTGTTTCCAGGACCATAGATAAAACACCGACTGGGGTCCATCTGGGCAACCTCAGTCTCTGCTAGATCTGAAACAGCAACTTCCCAAGAGACAGAATTGGGTCATTTGCATTCCATCACACCCAGAATTATAGCACACCAACGTGAGTTTATCTGATGTGATATCTAGAGACAAATATCCTCCAAAGTATGATAATAACTAAGGCATAATGATAAAATAATCATGAGAGCTAACATGTAGCGAGTGCTTAAGTTTTAAGCTCTGTTCAAAACAATTACCGGGGATTTTTTTTTTTTTCATGTAATCCTCTCGACCACCATATGAGTTATTTTATTCCCATTCTGTAGAGGAAGAAACAGAGGCTTTGTGAGTTGAAAACACGTTTCCCAATTGCTGGGATTTGAACCCCTAACCACCACACTGCTTGTTACTGTTATAAGCGTATTGAAAGGGAGGGCTCTGGCCATGGCAAGGGGAGAATGGGCTTCATTGTTCCTTCCTCAGCTCCAGTGTCCTCGTGTCTTCTTTTCTCATTGGGTTTCTCTTCCTCCCCATCCCCCACAGTGTGTGAGAACTGCATGGAGGTGGATGTGATGGCCGTGGTCACAATTATCATAGTCGACGTCTGCATCACTCTGGGCTTGATGATGCTTGTTTATTACTGGAGCAAGAATAAAAAGGCCAAGGCCAAACCTGTGACTCGAGGCATGGGCGCTGGGGGCAGGCTCAGGGGTAAGACCGGAATTAGATAAAAGGAGATTCCCACCAAGGGGGCCATTCAGCCTGGGCCAGGATGGGCTGCAAGTCCAGGCTAAGTCAAAACAGCTCCTGCAGGGCATCTCGGGCGATGCCGAGATCTCCAAAGAGGAATTCAAATCTCAGATCACTTCTCCCCTTCCAGCCTAGAATGGAGTTAAAAGGTTTGTGAACGGGACGGGCTTCTTCAAATGCCTGTCAGTGTCTGCCCTAATCAGATCCATCCCCAAGCTGTGGGAAGAGAGACTTTGAGATGTTAGTTCCTTCCTTTTCCATTTCCTTTCCCCATGGAAAGAAACAAAGGGAGGACCTTGAGCTGAGGAAAGTCACAAAATGATGAGAAGAGCCTGGGGGGTCCTTAGAGATGGGATGAAAGAGAGAGAAGAGAAAGGGCGGCTGAACGAAAAAGGGAGTAGAGCACACAAAGATTTGCCATCCTCAGATGGGGTCTCAGCGGCACAGTCAGTGCTGCAAGATTGCTGTTCCTTCATGGAAACAAAGACTTTTCCTTTCCCTCTGCAGGACAAAACAAGGAGAGACCACCACCTGTTCCTAACCCAGACTACGAGGTAACAGGGGGATAGAGTGGGCCAGGAAGCTGGGGGGGGTGGAGTCTTTCTAGGGGGAAGGGAACAGTGGGACTGTCCATCTTGCCTGCCAGATACTTCAGAGCCCCATTCTCAGGGCTCCCACAGCAACTCACCGTACGCCCAACTCTCTTCCAAGATAGAATAGGACCACCTCAAGGCAACGCATTTCCTACAACAAGGAGAAGTGGGGGGTTGGGGGAGACACACTTCTTTTTTTCTGGCTTATTCATTATCTGGGATATAGCCATAGAGAGCACCATATATGCAAATTCTAGCACAATATATTCAAGGCTGATAGTCCCCCAGAAGCACCAGTATAGTCATACCAGTTATTAAAACACTTCATTAGTGGCCGGGTATTGTGGCTCATGCTTATAATCCTAATACTCTGGGAGGCTGAGGCCAGAGGACTGCTTCAGCTTAGGTTCAAGACCAGCCTGAGCAAAGTGAGACCCCATCCCTGCTAAAACTAGAACAATTAGCCAGGCATGGTGGTGGGCATCTGTATTCCAGGTACTCAGGAGGCTGAGGCAGGAGGATCGCTGGAGCCCAGGAGTTTGAGATTACTATGAGTTAGGCTGAGACCATGGCACTTTAGCCTGGGCAACAGAGTGAGATTATGTCTCAAAAACATTTATTTATTTCATTAGTAAATGGCCTCAAGCTTCTCCCACCCCCACCCACCCTGATACACACATACACACACAGAGCACATATACATCACATACATCACACACATCACACCCCGTCCCCACGGGGCTGCCTCTTGATTTGGGGTAACTAGAGTTAATGCCTGACACAGCAGTGTGGGCACTACCAGCTATTAAACATTTTGAATATCACACCTAGATAAACCCAAGAAATATTTATCGGGCACAGCCAAACATGTAGTGTTTGTTTTAGCATTAGTGACTTCTTCAACCCTAACAAAAAGTCCTGAGAGGTGGGTCTCTACAGACCCATTTTTGAGATGGGAAAGCTGAGGCTCACAGAAGGAGATGACTGGCTCAAATCTCCTACCCATCTGTATCAAGCTGGAATTGGACCCCAGCACCTGACTCCAAGTCCAAAGTTCTTTCTGCTGCACGAAAGCTGGGTCTTCAGTGCCCTTTCTCTCTTAGGAAGCACTTCTTCCCACTCTACTGACCACCCCTCTCCCTTCCACCGCAGCCCATCCGGAAAGGCCAGAGGGACCTGTATTCTGGCTTGAATCAGAGAGGCATCTGATGACAGAGGACCAAGGACACTGCCTCCCACCGGCCTGGCTCCTCTCCTGGCACCCTGCAACTCCCCATTCCCTGGGCAAGGCTTAGACCCTGCAAGAAGATTGTTCCTGGGCCGCAGGGTGAACTCACACCCTGCAGCCTTGTCCCCGGCTCCCTCCTCCGCCTGCTCTGCCACGCCTAGTCCTAGGATTTGGTTTCTTCTCCCTTGACACGTTATAGCTGGTCAAGCCCTCGTGACTGGCCTGCCCTCTTGTCAGGATATTTATTTCTGTCATTAACTCCCTCCCGTTCCCCATAGATGTTACTTCTCCCTTCAGTTCCATCCTTTTTCTATATAGAAGTTGTCCCCCATTCCATCTGCCTTTTTATTTCTCCTGCTCTCTCCTTTGCACCCTTCTCTGAAGATGGATTAGGTAGATGTTGGTGGAGGGCTTGTCCCATTCAGAGATCCTGGCCCAGAGCCAGCCCCGTGTTCCCTCCCCTTGTCTCCACCTACACCCCCAGATAGTCGATCATCTCTATAAATGTACCGGCTCCTCTCGGCTGAGAGAGAAAGGAAATAAAGTGTGTTTGGCTGAAAGAGTTGCTGTCCCTCTTTTCTGGGAGGTCCTTAGAGGCTGCCTTGTTTCTTAAGACCACACAGGTCCTCACTACCTTTTACTAAATTCTCTGCTACGAGCCCAAATGCAAGCACTACCTGTTTTCACAGCTGGTAAAGCGTTATCTCTTGAGAGAGGGAGAGCAGAGGAAGAGGGGGAGAGGGAAAGAGAGAGAGGGAAGAGAGAAAGAAAAAAGAAAGAAAGAGAAAAAGGAAGGAAGGGAGGAAGGGAAGCAAGGAAGGAAGGAAAGAGAGAAGGAAGGAAGGGAAGGAAGGAAGGAAAGAAGGAAAGGAGGGAGGGAGGGAGAAAAGGGAGGGAGGAAGGGAGGAAAGGGAGGGAGGGAAGGAAGGAATGGAGGGAGGGTGGGTGGGGAGAAAGAAGGAAAAGTTAATTTCTCTTGGAAGAAAACTCAGAAGTGTCTGATGGATCCCTGATGGAGTGGTCATTTCAACAAATGAGTAATAAAAAAAAAAAAAATGAGTAAGATAGAAACAGGAGCCTTAAAGGAACATGAAGGGGCCAGAAGAGAAAGGCAGAGGTGTAAGGGGGGTTCGGGGAGTGGACACATGTTTCCATAAGCTGCCAAGAAGAGCCACTGAGCCAGGGCTGGGGAAGTGGAGGAGGGAGGTGTCTCAAGCAGGCGCTGCTCCCCCACCCCAGAGGCAGCGGGGCCAGCCAGAAGCAGGCTGCGGTTCAGCAGCACAGGATGTGGGCTGTGCTTGCTCCGCACCACCTTCTGGGGAGGGTGAGAGAGCTCTAGCAGCAGCCAGGGGCCCAGAGACCGCTGTGGGAAGACTTGGTTGTAGAGAGAGGAGGCCAAAGCGTGGAGGAGCTGTCTTTGTCCGGCCCAAACCAGCAGCCTCTCTACTCTCACTGTGCCCTCAGAAGCCTCCCTGCCAAACACAGCGCTCTTGATGGGTGTGGGCAGTGCTACCAAGGCCATCCACACACTGTACTCCTTTGGCCTTGGCTGTGGCTACTTGTTGGTCCCTGTTGAAGTGATGCTTCTCTTTCCCTCCAAGCATCAACACTTCAGCTCAAAAAGAGTCCCCATGCCTTTGGCATCACTGGCCGCCCATCAGCAGGCTGGGCCAGGAGCAGTTTTATTCCACTTGGATATTTGATTGTACTGGCCAGGGGCAGGCATCGTGCAGCATGATAAAAGCAATAACAGCTACCATTTATTGGGCATTGCTGTGCTTCTGAAATCGTATTTAACTCTTTATAGCCATTACCTCATTTAATCTTCCCAATGTCTCAACAGGCAGATGTTGCTACTCTCATTTTGCAGATGAGGATACTGAGACTCAAGTCACAGTTAGTGAGGGGAGGACAGAGCTGAAATTAGCAGCCAAGGCTGTCCAGCCCCACGCTCAGAACATCTGCCCAGTCAGTACTGACTATGAGTGTTCTCCGTTTTCCTGGCTTAAAAGCTCTTAATTGTTGGGAGTGGAAGGTTGTTGGCGTTTTTGTTTTTGAGACAGAGTCTTGCTCTGTCACTCAGGCTGGAGTGTTATGGCTTCAGCCTAGCCCAAAACAACCTCAAACTCCTGGGCTCAAGCAATCCTCCTGCCTTAGCCTTTAAGTAGCTGAGACAACAAGCACCCACCATAACCCCCAGCTAATTGTTTTTTCTCCTTTCCCTTTTTAAAAAAAATTTTTTTGCATATAAAAGATTTATTTTAAATGTTTTAAGGGTAAGATAGAGTTACATCCTTTTTTTTTTAAGTAGAGACGGTGTCTGACTCTTGCTCACCCTGCCTCTTGCTTTGGACCTCAAGCAATCCTCTAGTCTCAGGATGCCAGGATTACAGGTGTGCGTGACAACACCCAGTCAAAAGTTCTGTATTTAATTGTTTGTGCACTCCTTCAATGAGTGTTTTTCTTTTTCCTTTCTTTTCTTTTTTAGACAAAGTCTCACTATGTCGCCCTCAGTAGAGTGCTGTGGTGTCACAGCTCACAGCAACCTCAAACTCTTGGGCTTAAGCGATTCTCTTGCCTCAGCCTCCCAAGTAGTTGAGACTACAGGCACCCGCCACAATGCCTGGCTATAATTTTTGTTGTTGTTGTAGTTGTCATTGTCGTTTAGCAGGCCCTCACCAGGTTCAAACCGGCCAGCACGGTGTACGCAGATGGCACCGTAACCACTGGGCTATGGACGCCAAGCCCAATGAGTGTTTTTCTAACCACTGGTGTGGCCACCAGCCCCATGCATACTAAGTGCTAAGAGGTTACAAATTAAGATAGTTCCTGTCTCCAAGGAGTTTGCAATTATATAAAAGTAGCAAAGCATGCAAAAAGTTAAATAGCAAAACAGTGACATGCCCCCGCATAAGTGAGTGCTGGAGACAATGTTGCCGGTGTTCAGAGGAGGAACTCAGAGAGCTGAAGTGGTCACTAACAGCTTCAAAGAGGGAAGGTCTGATCTGGCCCCAACGGAAGGATGGATAGAATTTGGAAATAATGGAGAAGCGATGCGATTCCGATGTCCCACCCCTCCTACTGGCATGTTGAAATTTGATCCCCAGTGTTGAATTTAATATTGCCAAGAGCCAGTTTTTCTCTTGGGGTCAAGTGGTAAGTGTTTGGGTCATGGCGGTGGATCCCTTATGAATGGCTTGGTGTCCTCCCCTCTGTAAGGAGTGAGATCTCACTTTATTGGTTCAGAAGAGCTGGTTGTTTCATAGATCCCACTACCACCTCCCTCTCCTGCCCCTCCCATCACCATATGACAAGCCTGCTTCTCCTTCTCCTTCCACCTTGATTGGAAGCTCCCTGAAGCCCTCGCTAGAAGCAGATGCTGGCATGATGCTTCTTGCACAATCTGCAGAACTGAGAGCCAAATAAACCTCTTTTCTTTATAAATTACCCAGCCTTGATGATTTCCTTTATAGCAACATGAAACAAACTAATACAAGATAGGGAGAAAGGTAAGAACAAAGACTTAAAGGCAAGCCAGCTCCTTCCTAGGGGAGCAAATCAACTTACGGAAGAGAAGGAAACTGGCTCTTTGGGGACACTTACTAGTGCCTGTCCTTTCCTAAGTACTAGCCATGCATTACTCATTCAGTCCTCAATGTGACACTGCAAAGAATGTATGATTGTCTCCATTTGCAAAAGAGAAAACCTGGCTCGTGGCGATACCAAGTAATTTCCTTAGGGCCCCACGGCAAGGAGGCGATGGCCCTGGAATTCACATGCAGATGCTCTGGCACACCCTCATCACAAATGTCTGTTTTACTAAAATAACTTGAGTGTGGCAGGTCCCCAAACTACACCCTAGGACCTTGTGGTTCCTGGCTGTGCCAAAGCAGAGAGGCTGACAATCTTTGCCCTTTCTTGGTGCCCTTTCTTGGCTCCCTCCTTGCTCCCCTGAGAGGCTGTGCCCCACCATCAGCACTCAGGAGCCCACTCAGTCCCTGCCTGGTTAGGTCTGAGCACTGGGGACAACGCCAGCTTCACAGAGAACAGGGCGACCTACAGGGCCTGAAGCCAACCTCTTATCTACCCTCTCACCTGCTTCCTCACTTTCCCCTCTGGCGGGTCAAGAATGAGACAATTACAGGGATAGAACTGGAATATCCAGCAAAGTATCTGAAGAATGGAAGAAAAAGTATCCAATGTACTCAGTCTTACTATGAAACCAATTTGTAGCTTTCTTAGGAACGCTATAACCCAATTATAGCCCAAGAAGAAGGGGAAAGGGGAGAGGAAGGGGAGGGGAGGAGAGGGGGAAAGTTGGGTGGAGGGAGAGTAATTGGTGGGACCACACCTACAGTGCATCTTACAGGGGTACACGTGAAATTTAATAGGTGTAAAATATAAATGTCTAAACACAATAACTAAGAAAATGCCACGAAGGCTATGTTAACCAGTTCGATGAAAACATTTCAAATTGTATATAAAACCAGCACATTGTACCCCATGATTGCATTAATGTACATAGCTATGATTGAATAATAATAATGAAGAATGGGATAATTCTCACTCGCCTAAAACCTCAATCAGTTCCCTCACCTCCCATGGGCTTCAGGGTCTCATGGCATCACCTCTCTATCCCTTTGAACTTGATCTTTCACCTCTCTATCCCTTTGAACTTGATCTTTCCTCTCCACCGCACACTCACATCTCTCCTGTGCTAAGATAAGCTCTCCCTTGACCCTGTGTGCGCCCTGCCCAACCAAAACATGAGACAAAATAGGTAAAAACAATAGTGTTAACACATTGAACACCAGGCAACAAGGGAGAGGGATACATGGGTCACTACGAAAGTTTTGAGACACTCTGTGTTCTGATCCCTTATTTTACTTCTAAGAAACACAGTCGACAGCGTCCTCACTGATTCGCACTTGCAAGTTTCAACCTGCTTGGCTTATCCGTGTTCCTGGGAGGGATTCATTTGTTTCCAGCCTTACAGATTTTATGTTTTTTGACTTTCGTGTATCTCAAAACTTTTATAATAATTCACGTACCTGGCAGCACCTGTAGCTCAGTGGATAGGGCGCCGGCCAGATACA